ACACCTTTTCGATCGGGTGCATCTCGATAGGGATCCCACGACCAGTATTGCGCACAGTGACATCGGCCATGGTAACCGTAATAGTAAGCGCCGTGGTGTCTTGGTATTGGAAGTGGTTGTCGGCGGCATTCACGAGAAGCTCGTCAAATATCTTGTAGAGTGCTGGTGAGTACGACACTAATGCATCTAGACTTACACATTCTATCCGGCCGATCTTGTGGGAAAGTGGCATTGGCTCGACAACACAAAGTACAATCCCGACATAAGTGTCAGGGCGGTGGAGGATGTGGTCAATGGGGCTTTTCTTTTCATACTGCATGGCAAACTTGGGGTTTGAGTGTTCGACGGGGTTCACTGGATCCTAGTTAAATGGATCCGATGGGCTTAGGGAAGTAGTAGTAACATGTTGGCGTTTGCTGGCTTGGTCGGGAACAGCGGATGTCTCATGGCGTTTCACCATGATAGAATTTAGAAAATAAGAGTTTACCTACGTGGGGGTGTTACCTAAATAAAACAAATTAAAAATGAATACAATCCTGGTTTTAGGGTTTTGGGGTTTTAATTTGTGTACACTGATCGTATTCGCCTGGAGCCGGCAGTGCGCAGCTGATTACGGGTTATCCGGAGTTTTGGTTCCGCATCCCGCGTAATCACCACGCCTCTGCTCGCCGTAAGGCGTTCGTGGACTTTATTGACGGTATATCGCTTGTACGGCGATACGTGCAACATAAATCTCAAGATACCCAGCAGCTCTCGGTTCTGATGTAGATGGCAAACAGTTCCGAGCCGACAGTGGCCTTGTCCCACGGGAACATTACGGTTAACAGGATATACAACACAATACCCATAGACCACACGTCGCACGCCTTAGGGATAATATTATTTATTTCAAAAATGCCAAGCATGTATGATACAATGTATGAACACATGGTATGGCTCTCATAGTCGCTGTAGTGGTTCAGGAAAGATTGATGGGAAGAAGTAGTCAGTAAATTCCCGTTTGAAGCTTGGGCCAAGTGAGTCGACAATGGAAGATATGTGCTGAGTCAATTCGGGCCGGTGTTGACAAAACACTGTTACTATAAAATGTTCCATATATTTGCTTGCTGACCTACTAAGTAGAGTACCCACCTCTGTGGTACGGATCGGGTCTGCGCCGTGTAGTGCCGCGGAATGGGTTAGTGCAGAGTATGAAGTACCGAGAAAGACCAAATTATCCGTCATAATCCGGTCGAGAAGCGAGGAGGGGGGTAAGCCAATGTCGCACCAGACCACGGGTAAATTCGGTATGTGTTGGCTGGCCTGAATCGGAAGTATCATAGGCAGAACCAACAAGCGCGATGATTTGGTTTGAACCGATATTTGGAAGTAGTACTTCAACAACGTGATTAGCCGGGGTATGGGGAACATCTGTTGATGTGTCAGGGACAGGTGAGGTTGCGGTGGTTCTTCAACATGCTGGAGAAAAGATCCAAGGTGTTCGTGGAGGGTCCAGATACCGTGGAAGTCGTGGCACTCCTGTTATTGCTGAAGGAGGTCAGGGCCAATGGGCGGCAGTTCCGGACCTACCAGGATGCGTCGAATCAGTTGTTGGGTGCAGGTAAAGTGGCTGGTAGTGAACTTGTGGCTACCGGGGCAGACAGGGCAGAGACAGCTGTCGGTGCGGTAGTCGATCAATGTGAACATGTAAGTATTCGTTAGAATCATAGCACAGAGTCGGATTGGTATAGACTCGAAGCAGCGATTGAAACTGTCGTGTCTGGCTGTGTCTCGGTTTGAGGTTGGCGATTTACCCATAACCAGTTGGTAGTAGTATTGGCACCGGGCCATTGCCGCGATCTCTTTGTTGGACCAACGTTTTGTTGAGTTCTTCCTGATGTCGTCACAGCGTGATCACCTCGACCGTTGTGATCTTTAGCAACACTAACACTCCCCGAAATCATTTCGGGTGACGCGTGCGCACTAGTCCCGAGCATTTGAGTGTAGTCAAATTCTGACGCACACATGGCGTGTCCGAAATCAATGAGGGTTAGGTGTGGCACACCACCGTTCTTAGCCACAGCGGAGTCGCGTACGTCTACGCATATATTGTCACACTTTATGTCAAAGTGACAGATGTCATTAAGGTGACAGTGTGCAACAGCGCACGTTAGCTGCAGCATAAGATCGCAAATCAACCGAGGTGACATTCCTGATGTGGTTAATGATGGTACCAGCAACGCCTCCTCGTTAATGACGTAGTCGGCCTGCAGGTACTCGACCATGTCCATCGACCCGTGGTATGACATATAGATGTCGTAGCGATCAAGGTCTGGATCAATATGGTGAGATAGTATGGTGATAATATTGTGGTGGTCTAGAACACTCAAGAGACGTATCTCGGACGCGAATGTGTTGCTGTGTTTGTGGAACTTGCCGCGTTTGAGTGCACACACAATAGTCCCGTCATCTTCACTACTCACAGTGTAGACACTCGACGTCGAACCGTCGCGCAGAAGCGATTTTCGGTACACGTATATTAATTCGTGGTGGTGAATTTTATTATTATTAATATTACTATTACTATTCTCAATTTCTCATTTATTTCGGTTCGGCCATAAAGACATTTTTCTGTGCGTGTTGGTAATTATTTTCAAGACAATCTGAAAAAAATGTTTCGCGCACGGTACATCAGCAGCCGATTCTGTGCATGTTGTGTCGCAACACAAGTTGGATTTTCAAGACAATCAGAAAAAAAGTTTCGTGCACGGTACATCAGGAGACGATTACTGCGCGTGTTGTGTTGCAGCAGTCGATTCTGTGCATGTTGTGTCGCAACACAAGTTACAATGTTTTCAAGAAAATCGAGAAAAAAAAGTTTCGTGCACGGTACACCAGCAGACGATTCTGTGCGTCGCAACACAAGTTGGTGACTTCATAAAAACAAAGATTCCGTTCAATTAACAAAAAAAAAAACATAACAAAAGGCGTGCGCAAAATCCCTCCCATTTTGTTCTGTTTTTTTGGTTTAATTTA